AAAAAGTCTGTGTATATAAATCTGAATTATTCTCACCATGTTGTGAATCAATCCCCATGTAAATCAGTGAATACAAATAATGTATAGGATGCTATCTAACTCCACATGACAGTCATGTCTGACTCTGAGCCTTGGCTCAGCTGTGACCTCATCATGTAAGATACTGTAATCAATTTTGTTCCTAAGTCCCAAGATACATCTATCAATAGCCAGATATTCTCTAGAGATTATACACACTCATTCATTGGAATTCTCCTCTTTTTAATGGAAGTGGGGAGAAGTATTCAGGGACTGTGCTAGGGTTCTATTTATATATATATATATATATATATATATATATATACACACACACACACACATTACATATTTACATACCTATGTAAATATGTAAATATATAGTGTGTGTGTGTGTGTGTGTGCGTGTGTGTGTGTGTATGAAATTTGGTTCACGCAATGTGAAGGCTGAGAAGTCCCAAGATATACAATTGGCAAACTGATGACTCTGGAAAGTCGATGGTGTACTTCCAGTCCAAATGCCAGCTAATTTGAAGTCCAGAAAGAGCCAGTGTTTCAATTTGAATCTGAAGGGAGGAAAAAAATTGATATTCCAGCTTGAAGACAGTCAGGAGGAGTTTCCTCCTATGCAAAAGAAGGTTAGCCTTTGGTTATATTCAACCTTCAACTGATTAGATGAGGTTCACCTACATAAGGGAAAACAATCTGCTTTGTTCAGTCTATAGATTCAACTGTTTATATCATCCAAAACACCCTCACAGATACACTCAAAATAATGTTTGACCAAGTATCTGGGCACCCATGGCCCAGTCAAGTTGATATATGTGATGAACCATCATAGGGATCTTTTGCCCTGATTCCCATCCTCATAAGATGTGTTTATCTACTAAATAGCTCTAGGCCTGTTCAGAAGGCAAACAAGTCCCCCAAAAGCTAGGGAAATGGAATCTTAAGCTTTGGAAAAAATGTAGAATGGAGCTTTATTGTAGAATCTCATATATAATAAACAAACAAGAAACTCAGCTGAAAAATATAGTCTCTACCAACTACCAACAATAAAAGGGAAACAGCATAATGTCAAACATTTCAGAAAGGCAGCAGCCATGGAAAGAAATAAGATTCTGGTGTGGAACAGAATTGTCCCCATCACCAAGAAGCCATTTGATAATTTTAACAGAGTTCTGAGAATTCTCATTAATTCTTCCAAATCTAGAGAGAATAAAAATCAGGAGCATGTACTTCTGTTTTCCCTCTCAAACCAGTTGGTTGACAGTATGAGACCATAGAAATGAACAAGTGCTGATTTTCTCTGAAAGAGGTGTGTTATTTAGGTCAAAACTGGGCTACGAATGACAGAAAACTGAAAGTAGTAGCTAATTAAGATATGCATATATTTCTTGCTCACATAAATGTCCCAGGAGGTGACCTTGGGCTGGGTTATGATGCTGTGTATTTTAGGCAACCTGAGGCTCATTCTCCCTTTGTGACCCACTATTTATTTTTAGATGTCATGGAAAAGAAGATGACATTCACATCCCAAGCAGGGGCTGAAGAAAAGAACAAGCATACTGCCTCAAGTGGAAAGTTCCTGAAAGCTTTTACATACTTAACTTCCATCCCATCAGCCAGAAATTGGTGACTACACTCAACAGTAAGGGAGATACAAATATGTAGTTTTTATTCTGATGAGCAGTGAGTCACCTTATGATCAGGAATTCTAGTATTTCATGAAAAAACAAATGGAGATTACAGAGAGGCAATCTCAATACTGATTTTAAAGACCAACTTGAAGTCTGAGACTACTCCCTCAGGAGTAGCATACTTAACAAATTCAATCAGAGCAGAAGCCCTGGATTATAGAAGAGGCTGGAGATCAGTTTATGTCAACTTTGATCTCTTCACCTTACCCTTTCTGCCGGTCCTCAGGTTACAGACCTGTAACCTTGGGCATAGGGCATAAACACCATTAACACCTCAAAGTACATAGGTAGTTTGGAAGAGAAAACAAACTCGTTTCTGATACTGAAAGAAGGAATAAGGAAGATATTTATAATACAGAAATGAAAAGAAATAAAATTAGAGAATTGGGATAAAACGGCTCAAGGATGAACCAATGGGGAAAAAAATGGCTTAGCATAGCTATCTAAGCAACAACAAAAAAAAAAAAAACAAACAAACTTGTTTTTAAAGATAATTTACAATGCAAAAGACTAAACCCAACTTTGAAGAAACAAAAACCCAAGGAACAGAAAGCAATTCCTCACAAGAGATTTATGCTACAAAATAACTTAAGAATATAATTAAATAAAATGAGAAATCAAGGAGAAGAAGACAGAACAGCAGAATGAGATTAAAAAAGAGGTTGCATGCTAAAGAAACAAAGTAAGGATCAAAATAATATCATTTGGAACTACCAAAGATGTCAGACTAAAATGTAGAAAATAACAGTTATTAATGACATATTTGTATGACAATCTACAAAAGCAAATAATTCAAGGTTAAACCCCTGATTGTATTTCCATTTCAAACATGACCAAAAAAGTTTTGGGGATTGAGCATCACGTATATATATCATTAGATGGAGGAGAGTGTTAACAGCTAGCCCAACAAAAACGTTTATTTATTTATTTATTTATTTATTTTTCAGTAAATTCAATTCCTTTTTTTTTTTTTTTTTAATCATCCAAGACCGAAGAGACAAGTGCGGAGTGTGAAAATAGCAGGCAGCATTGGACATTTTAAAATTTGTTTTCTACTAGCTCCGTACAAAGCATAGCTTGCTCTAGGGCTGGCCTGAGACTTGGACCACAACAAAAGCTCAGTGTGGTGAGGTGAATGCCCGTACAGACGAGACTGTTGGCAATTTACTCCATCTTCTTGGTAGCATCTGTTCCACCCACTCCCTCCTCTGCTGGTTTCCTTGAGATTGCTACAAAAGTCAGAGAAGACACATGCGTGGCTTTGAAAAGGGGTGTAAATTTTCCTACTTGCATAAACTATATTTATCGAAACTAAAACTTGGCTTGGAAAGGTATTTGTATTATGGCTAGGTCTGTTTGTCTACATTTCTTTAATTTATGCAGTATATGTTAATTACTTTTTTAATGTGAAAATATTTTGACATTGCTTTTTCTCATTTCTTTGACTTCTTGAATAATTTTATCCCAAGTCTGCCTTTGAAGCACATCTGCTCTCTGGGCTTCCAGCCTTTTATGTAGCGTATACATCCTTCAGCACTGGTGCTCAAGCCTCTTGTTCCTGAAATCTTAAAACATTTTTAGCAAATTGGAATATTATCACGGAGGTGACTTCAGGCAATCTCATTTCTGGAGGTTAATTCTGGATAATCACCTCATCTAGACATTCAAAAAAGTAAAGATACACATTCAGACTAATCAAATTTAGGCTTATTCATGTTCCAAGAACAAAACAAGGTACTTAGTTTGGAGCCGAGGCAGGTCATTCAACAAAATTGGATCTACCTGACCCTCTCAGAAGCTATATAATGTGTTTTATCTGTTGTCAGAGGATGATCAAAAAGATGCAATTGCTCTTTACATGAAGGGAAGCATCGTGTGAATTCAGATAGAACACTTCTTACCTGCTCTGCTCTTAAAATCTAAGAAAGGTACATGAGGAAGAAGATGTGTATTTGTGAACTTGGGGAATGGATTTGGGAAGGTTTCATCTCTTCAACCTAATACATGGGCAAGGTTTCTGAAATCAAGTGCAGCCACCTAGAGAGTGCCCACCCCGCAGAGGAGCCCCCTTCCCCTGTCATCATGCGGTATACACATCACGTTCCTGATCCCTGTCCTTTTCTGACAAAGCATCACTCTAATGAGCCGTTTAAGTGACTGAAGAGAAGACAAACACATAGTTCAGAAAGGCTCTTGTTCACTAATCACTTTCCCACACAGCTGATAAATTTTTACGTTTTTTAAAGCCGGTATTTCTGAAATATCTTGTTAACAGTTACTATTAGAAAATGTTCACAGGTACAATAGGAATAATGCCGCTTCTCACTGTTACTAGCTTGGTATCTGGCCTATCGAGAAATTTAAAGAAAAATGTGGGACTGCAGTGCAGATTTTTCTCAGGGTATACTGAAGCAGCCTTTGCTGTAACTGTGAAATTTTAAGAAGTATTTTCCAAGACATCTATCTTATACAGACAAGACTATTTTAAATTGGACTCATTAAATCATTTGTTGTCACAGCCAACAGCCTTGTGGAGGCTAGTTAACAAATGAAAAATGAGCCTTTTTAACTTGTTTATTTTATATGGATGCTTTCTTTATTTCGTTTTTTCCCCCCTCTGGTAGCACATTGACTTAGGGGATCTTGTTACAGTACTGCCTGACAAAAATTAAAAATGTGAAGGCTGAAAATACTGGAGACGTAATGCCCTAGTTCACATAAAATACTGGTAAAGAGGTTCCCACTCTGAGCCTATCTTCTAGTTCAGGGAAGAGAACCAATTAAAACCTCATTTACGTTGTTGAGAGGTAACACAGAATTACTTGAGAAGCACAGAATTCCTGGTACAGAAAGAAAAAAAAAATGATGGTCCTAAATTCATCTCTGAGTTTTTCCTTGGAGCCCCTATTTTGCCAGCTCAAGATTGTTTTTAACAGTATAGCTATCTTAATTTATTCACTCCTTCCGTCTTTCCTTCCTTCCTTCCTTCCTTCCTTCCTTCAGTTGTTCATCCGTCTGCTTCTAAATACCACAGTTTATGAAAGGCATTTTTTACGAGTTTATTGGCAGGTAGTGTTTTTCTTTGCTGTTGGTATAAGTTAAACTTTATTTAATTTCAGTTTATAAATATTTTCTTCTTGGTCAACGTTTAAAAAATTTTTTTCATACTACTGCTTTCTTAGCTATGGCTTAAATAAATATGTTCATTTATATATGTTTTTTGGTTTCATTTTTCATCAAGAAATCCTTTTTAAGGTTTTCTCACTTTAGTTTATTTCCTACTAGCTTTCCCTGGATGTGTTGCTGAGTCTTAAGCAAAGTAGAACGGTATTTTCTGATTAGGCCCATGCAATACTTTGTATCTTAGAGCTTACAACAGGGAAATGTTGATGATGAAAAAGGACTTTGGGAAGAGGTATATCAAAATTTGAATTTCACTTCCATCAATTTTCCTACTTGGAAAATGGAGATGACAGACTCATTAGAGGTTAATTTAAAGAGAAATGAACAAGGGGCGCCTGGGCGGCTCAGTGGGTTAAAGCCTCTGCCTTCAGCTCAGGTCATGATCTCAGGGTTCTGGGATCCAGCCCCACATCAGGCTCTCTTCTCTGCTCAGTGGGGAGCCTGCTTCCCTCTCTCTCTCTGCCTGCCTCTCTGCCTGCTTGTGATCTCTGTCTGCCAAAAAAAAAAAAAAAAAAAAAAAAAAAAAAAAAAAAAAAAAAAAAAATAAAATTTAAAAAAATAAAGAGAAATGAACTATACATAGAGGGTTCCTTACACATAGTAGACACACAATAAAAGTCACATCTATTCAGAAAACTTAAAACAAATAAACAACAAGCAAAACAAAATTCTTTTGAATTCTCAAGTGGTATCCACTTTTCAGCCCAGTTATCTACCAGGGGTCCCTTTAGCTTTTCAGCCTTCTCCTTTGTAATGAATGATTAGATTCAATTGAATTTTATGCAAATATCTATATTTTTAAAAGTGTTCAGGTCAAATCCTCAAGATTTAGTCAGTTTAGATTTTTGAGGTAAGTGATATTACTTGAGAATTGGGTCCTTACTGATATTTGTAATATAATTCAATTTAGGACTATGACACACATTTTCTCCCTAGTTCACTAATAACAATGTTAAATATGCACAAGCCTCACAACAACCATAGAGATAGCAACTTAGAATAGTCCTGCAATTTAATTTATTCCTATTTGTCATTGCTCTTCTCTGTGGTCTGGTAGTCATTTTATAGAATACCACAGAAAACACATTTGAACTAATTCCTCAAGCTACTGTACTTCCTTCAAATTTCCCATTAACCCATATAGTCTACATTTTATTCATTTAGTAATTCCCCCATTTATCCAAAAATTTTATCGTCCTTAACTTCCTTCCCTGTTTCTCTATTTTCCAAGTTGAAGCTAGATACATCTTATTTGTCCTCTTGTATTCACTCAGGAAATTGATACTGAATGCCCAACATGCACCAGGCATCTTTGGCACTGAAGAAAAAACCATCAATAAAACATAGTCTCTGACTTCTTGGAAGTTACATTTTAGTGGAGGGTGGAGAAAGGCCAATGCTTGTTGTATAAGCAAATAAATAAACGATCTGATATGAAATAGTGAAGAGTGCTGTGAAGAAAATAAAAGATGGATAGGGCACTTGGTGGCTTAGTCAGTTAAATAGCAGACTCTTGATTTTGGCTCAGGTCATGATCTCAGGGTCCTGGGATCCAACCACGTGTCAGTTTCTGTGCTCAGTGCAGAGTCTGCTTGAGGATTCTCTCTCTTCCTCTCTCTCTGCCACTCCCCCAGCTCATGTGTTCTCTCTTTCTCTCAGATAAATAAATACGTCTTTTTTTCTTTTTTTAAGAAGAAGTCTTTTTAAAGAAGAAGAAAAGCCACTGCCCTTTTTTTTAAGGCAATGAAAAGACACTGGAGTGTTTTAAGCAGCAGAGTGGATTGATCTGATTTGTGCTTTGAGAAGATCATTTTGGCTGTGTATGGAGAAGAGATGGGAGAATTGTGAGGTTATAAGCGTTGAGGCAGGGAGACTAGTTTGGAGCCTGTTATAGTAGTACAGGTGAGAGAAATGGTGGCTCGGACTAGGGTTTTAAGAACAACACTATGAGAAACTGTCAGATCTGGGAGAGATTTGGGGGACAGTACCAACAGGACTTGCTGGTATGTTGGACATAAGAAGTGATGGAAACAATGGCACCTTGTTGGTTTTAGCACCTGAGAGACTGAAATCTACAGAGCACTTGTCACTTGTCTGTACTGTCATCCCTGTGCATCACTTCATGCTCTCCTACAGAGCCTGGAAGATCCTTGAAAAATGCTAACCTTTCGTATTTTTCTTTGGGTTACCAAAACCATTGCACAGGTTGTATCCAGTGAATATCTGTGGAATGAATGGAAGACAGAGAGGTAAATCTAAAATTATGTGACTTGACAGGATCATAGCCTCTGTGTTAAAAACCACAGGTCGTGTGTTGTATTAATAAAGGGTGCAACTTCTTGGCAACACGCTTTATAGGATGACATGATTCCAACTAGCAAATTTATAGTCCAGAAAGCAACCAGAATGTTTACAGGTGGAAAGTAAGTATAAAACAGAATTATGGACAGAAAAATATATTCTTTTTTTCTTAAGATTTTATTTATTTATTTGAGAGAGAGAGAGAGTGAGCATGAGAGGGGAGAAGGTCAGAGGGAGAAGCAGACTCCCCGTGGAACGGGAGCCCACTGTGGGACTTGATCCCAGGATCATGACCCGAGCCAAAGGCAGTAGTCCAACCAACTGAGCCATCCAGGAGCCCCCCAAAATATACTCTTATCTGAATGATAGAAGTTCAAAAATGGACAAGATTGTAGGTCCTTTAATTGTTTCAAAGAAAATACAACTACCTTAAACCCTAAGCTCTTATTTATGATATTAGGGAGACATCTGTATCAATTAGAATACTTTTGGATACAACTGACCTAAGTCCAAAGCTCAGTAGTTTAGGTAGAGAGAATGCTTACTGGCTCATATAAAAACAACAACACCAACAACAACAACAAATAGGGTAAGGCCTAGCTTGGGAAATTGCTTAAACAGGGTTTGAATGATGTTACCAGGGGTTCCTTTATTTTATAGCTTTGTTCTTTATTTTTGCTTTAGCTTGATTCTAAATGGTTTTAAGACGGCAGCATCAACTCACATCTATTGATTTTGAGTGAGCAAAAGAGACCTCTGACAGTGCAACAAACGTATGGCTCTCATTGGTTCACTTTTCATCACGTATGCAGCCCAAACTAGTCTGCAGAAGAGAAGTAGTTCCTCAAAGAACCTTGAGATACCATTGGGAAGAAGGAATAGAAAATGGCAGAATGAATAGGAATGTTGTCTGTCAATTTTTAAATGTATGTGTATGGTTTCAATAGACTTATTTTTTTAAAAGTAGATGATATTTAAAGACACATTAGATTTTCAAGATCAAGAATGTAGAGACCTTCCCATTATTTGTGTGTCCCTGAGACTTACTGCTACGAAGTAGGCACTCAATAATACTTGTTGAATGAATGGGTAAACATGAGATGTCCCTTAAGCTTATAGAAATCTTTGCTGGACTTCGCTATTGACTTGCATGATAAAACAAAGAATTTCTGTGCATGTGTATAAATAGTTTGGAAAAAGTATTCATAGGTGATCAAAACAATGCATAGAGGAAATTGTTAGACTCAATTACAGCATCCTGAAAACGTCTTACAAATTGAGAATTTGGCCTGCATTTTAAAATTTGGATTTTTTTTGATCTCTTTCACCTTTTAGGTATAAAATAAACACCATATTCCCTATGGCATTTCAGAGAACTGAACTTGATAATTCTGGCAGTGCTATTTTGCTCTTTCAAGACATTCAACAGCAAGCACATATGTGTCTGACTAAATGTCACTGTGCTTAAGATTTCTATAATTTGGATTTGGAAGCTGGCAAAGGGAGAAAGAAGACAGAACTTTTAAGTTTCTTATTACCCCGTCCCATGATGTTTCTTTGTTCATTTGATTCTAATGATTCCAACAGGAGTTGAAACAAAAGCTGAAGGATTGGCCTACCATGGGTTAATTACTTAGTAAAAGGGCTATTTCTTGAGTCTGATGGTGGGGAATGGGTCAGAAAAGACTAATTAGACAAGCTTCAAATTCTAGGGAAATGCTAGTGGAACAGGTGAAAATAAACTGGTGATAATTGAGGGGCTAATTATCCTCCACCTAGCAATTGGCCACCAGGTGTTCTGTAGCACATAAAAGAAGGGACTGACAGAGCAACAGAGGCTTTTTTTTTTTTTTCCCAGAGAAATGAGGAAAGTGTGGGGAAACACACGCACGCACAATCTCCAGAGGAATTTGAAATCTGTAAAATGGTGTTTCTTGTATTTTTTCACTTGTTCTTTCCTGCTGCATTGGGTAGAAAACTGGACTAAGGATATGTGCTTGTGTTTTATTTGTTTTTTAAGAATGAGTGTCCCTTCTGGTCTGTATACTCATAAAGAATTTTGGTGTTGGGTGTACATATACATATATCCTTATAATTAAGATTATGGTAACCATCTACATGGCACATTTATTAGACAAAGTTTACTGACATTTACAAAGGCCATTATGAATAACAGAATGAAAACCCATCAGTCTGAATTGTTATGAGCAGTGGCTTCGTAATGAACAAACCTCCTCTTACACATGCCGTACAGAAATACAAAGTTCTTAGACTATCTCCAGTAGTATAAGGAGTAATTACCAAGATACCCCAGCAAGGATCTTTCAACTCCCTTTTTCTTTTATCATCTTATTAAAAAATTAGCTTTCAGAGTTCAGTAACTAAATGGGACTATCTTTGATGTAACACTTTCCAGGTTAACATAGATAATAGAAAGAGTGGATACCTGGGATTAATGATTACCATTACAATAATGTAACATCCCATTCAGAAATATGTCTACAAGCCAGAGACAGGATGACTAAGGTAGAGAACATTTTTTAAATGGCAAAAGTGGAAAGCAGGTTGTCAGAAGAATTAAGTTCAGACATGTAGGACTCTTGTCCACCAGTTCTGATTCTGCTGTCTGAAACAGAACAGGATTATTCCGTGGTGTAGGGTGGAGACAGCATTGTTTCTTTGGGCACTTTGCTCTGGAGCGAGGACATCTGCCTTTTTAGATGGTGCTCAACGTGGGTGGAACTCCAGATAGTGACACTGCTGGTTTCCCACAGTTCTGCTACAGGTTAAATGGCTGCTTTGGGAACTGACATCTCCCCAACCCCACACCCCCATTGTTGCCATTTCTCTTGGAAAGC